CTGAAAGACTTAGTGGTTATCTTGGCCTCTGAAGGGATAAAATGCTATGCGAATTCGTAATTATACCCTACACTGCTTGTGGTAGGAAGATTGAGATAGGCCCACCTTTTTTCAAAATCGCTCCCTAAATCGACGTAAGCTTGTCTGTCCATCTGTCCGGCTGTATCTTTTGTGCTCAATTTACAAACCGCAATTTCTAAGATATTTCGATGAACTTTGGTATGCCGGTGTGTTTTGATCTAAGCATCAAAGCTGTTGAAAATGCTGTAAGTTTGGGAAACTTCGCTGCGTTTTGCCATACAATGCCTTATTTTTAAAAGTCATTATATGAGTAACTGTAGGGTGACCCGTGTTCTTACTTGGCCTGATTGATTCTCATGTCCCTAAGAGACGTAGTCAAAACTATGATCCAACGAAGTTTCTCCCAATCCCGCACGGATTAGACTAAAGATTGCCTCGCCTGAATGATTTGTTTCTTATGATTCAATCAATATATTGATTCGAGGATACGTTTTTAGCAATACTTAATAACTATTTATGTTTCCTAATAAGTTAGTGAATAATTAATATGATACATTAGCTGGACATTTAGTAGAAAGTAATGGTACGCAAGTTGTGGCTGAAAGAAATTTTTCACTTTTAACCATCTTTCCCCTCTAGCTATGATAATAGCTGTAGCTACAGTTGGCTAAATAAAGCATAAGCTAACTTAGTAGCTTTACCATATTATCTTAATATTGGTTCATCATTTATATATGTAGTATATAGGACTTGTTTGTAAAGAAGAAGAAGATTATCAATCATCTTAATCTTGAATCAGTTTGCCTTTATCAATTTATAATTTATTGTTCGTGCTGTTGTGCTATCATAAAAACGTTAAATTACAATAAAATGTAATTAATATAATTATGCAAAGAGAAATATTTCAGTATATCTTGGGCTCAGCTCAACTTTATGCAATGGCATTATAAACACTTATATCCTCCTATATATAAAAGACATTTTTTTCTATGTTATTTCTATCAACTGTATGTTGTTTCATTAACAAAAAAATATTCAGGCGACCCATATGAATATTCGCGCTAAGCCTGCCTTCGATCCATTTTTCCTATAATTTAGGCTATTGATGAAGAGTTTTTGGCTTTTGCATGCATAATAGGTTAGTCCATTAATTTTCAGGCCTATTGCACCAATATTAGTAGGTGTTTATGAAAATTCGGACTCGTTTGGCGCTATTGTTAGGGCTGAGGGTTCGGGGGGAATTCATCCAGCCAATTTCTTTGCCTTTCCAAGCTTTTTCAACATTCAACAATCGTGTTGAACGGTCCACATTGAAGTTGTCGGCCAGCATTCGAGTTGTCAAGCTTTCGTCCCTGGTCGATCTCTTCCTGGCTTATCTTCCAAGCTAGTGTCGCCGGATTTGAAACGGTCAAACCATTCCCTGCATCGATTTTCGCTGATTGTGCGCTCACCGAAGAGTTCGTTGAGATTGCGAAATGACTGCGCTTCTTTCCATCCTTTCACAAAGCGGTACAGCATAATGTGACGAATACGAGTATGTTTAGCGAGTAAAAAGAGAAGAACATCTTCGTTTATAAATTTATAAAATATTGTAAGTTCTTATTAGAATGTAGTACGACAAAGAAACGTCTGATAATTATGCGCGAAACCAATACTTTTGGATGCAAGACTTCAATTTTAAATTTGGTTCGATTTCTTATCTTAACTTTAGGGCCTTCAAACAACAAATGGCATTCGCATCGCGTAAGCGGCGTAGGCTTTAAAGATGTTAAATCCATATTTTGTACATTGAGCCAGTAAAATTGAAACATACTCAGCGCTTGCAGGTCGGGCGGTAGTCCTTTGAATTCAATTGAAAGCGAGTAGAAATGCTGTAGTGGGCCAGGGCCTTCTATCAAATACTCTTACACCCCTCTATCGTTATCCGTATAACGATTTTTCAAAACAAAACGTTATAAAGCAAGTGATCGAAGAAGTGATCCGATCTAAACCATTCTACCATTGACCTGCAGCCGCATTTAAGCCAAAACCAGTCCAGTTTCATTGAAATAACTCAAAAATTGCATCTTGGGTGTTGAATACAAAGAAACAAGACAAATACGCGGACAACCGAGCTTAAATTGCAAGCTTAATGGGTAGTACTGAAGAGTTTTCCTGTTCTTAGTCTGTTCTTTTCAAATGATTCCAACTGTCACGTGGTTGATCCTTAGGGCCTACGCTATATCTTAACAGCTTCCGTGCCGTGTCTTTATTCCAACAGTTGTAGAATTCAATCGATTTTTTCAGTGACTGCGAGCTGCACCTTTGTGATATCTAAATTTCCGGAACGGAGACCACTCCTGGATCGTTCGTTCACTCATAGCATCACAAATTGTTTTTTTTTTTTTTTTTTTATAGTAAAAAGCCATTACGTAGCTTACTTCTTTAAGTATTTCACTCATATTCAAATCAATATAAATTTTCACACGAGCAAAGAATTAGAAAACTATCTGCACAGAAAATGTTAGCTGAAATGACACCTTTTAAGCACATGTTCTATCATCTATAGGCATCAACGTCAGCATCCTACGGAAAAAATCGCGGATAATTTTCAATGTAACCTAATATTGCATATATGTGTGTAGAAGAATTTGTTAATTCAAGTCTTCTCAAAATTTCCTTGTCGACCCAATAATAATTTAATATAAACATGTTTACCATTAAGAGGAAAGAAATTATTGAAAATGATTTGATATTGAAATTGAACATTGATTTCCGTTACAATTAAAGCTATCAAGGTTAGTTCGCTTTAAAATAAAAATTTCGTGAATATTAAGAGCCTCCAATGACGGGATTCGATAAAGCGAAGACTTCTTATGTAAATTTTGTTTGACAAGGTTTTCAATAATAATTTCACTAGTTTGCTTAATAACAGATTTCCTAATAAAAGTACGATGGCCTAAATATAAGTGCGATTGAATGATTGCTTACTTAAGCGTAATAACTTTCATTTGGTCAAGAGCTTCACGAAAAATTGAATAAAAAATTGAAAAATTCATCTTCAAAATTTGAGCAACAAAATGTACTTATATTTAATTTGAAGCGAATTGTTTAATATCCAAAGCTGATTGCTTGCGGTTTTTTTTTCTTTTTTTTATATATGCATTTGGCAAACTTGACATGTTAGGAAACCAAAAGCCTTCTATGGTTCATCTATAATATGTTGTAGCACGACAAGCCCTCCTAATTTATGATCGATTAGCACAACGTAACATACCCAAAATATGTGCCATCATAACATAATCCAACCAGAGAAGTGATATCTTTAACGTAAAATATCTGTAGAGCAATAAATTCAATAAAAGCCGGCTATGTCCAAATGCTTAATGCTCCTTTTATCTTTTGCTTACCAAACAAAATGTCAAACGGTACGTTCAGCTTTCAGTCATAGTAAGACGCAAACATTGTGTCGTCGTTTTACCCGTTCTTCATATCATGTTCAGAATTCTACTTGCGTCCATGGCGGTTATCCAGCTGCGTCCAGTTATGTTCATATAACTGATCCACTAGGGTGCTAAGCGCAAGAAGACTACTGCTGCCAGTCGTAAGGATTCCCTTAAAGTTGTTGTCAGGTGTTTTCGTGAGGGCTACCGTAAGAGTATCCAAGCCAAGCGCCTAAATGCACGTCTTACTCTTAGGGTCGGTTTATAGCACACGATATCGAGTAAATTTGATTGTTATTTGAATATGTTAGCAATCGATAGCAAATTTTACGATCGAAAAATTTCTCATTCGATAGTGAGAAAAATTCATAATTAATCGACAGCTGCGGCCAGTCAATCATCAACAGCCATTGAGTTTACGCGATCAAGCTTATTCGATATCGACAGTTATAAATTGCCCTCAAGTCGAAAAGATCATAAAGACCTGCCAGAGTAGCCGAGTAAATAAGAACCGTGACTACCAAGTCAATGATCCGCGATTCAAATATCAAGTGTGGTTAACTTTTCTCTGGTCGCAGCTGTAGTGAGGGCTTAGTCGCTGAAGGCACACGTTTCGACATGTACCCACTAGGCTGTGCCCGCTAACTGCCTATTTTTTCACTTTCCTCTCCACTTTCTGACAGTCGCCGCGTTGCACGAATAAGGAACCTCTTCTGATCCATATTAAAAAGAAAAAAGAAGCCTATTGCATGGTCTCACTAGACATGTTTTTTTTTTTATTTTGCGCTGATCAAGGGTGGTTATCCGACCCAGATAAGCTATTTAAGTCTGAACTTGGGAGAACATCGTCCATTAGCAGAGCAAGGGAATTACGTAGAGCCCTTTCTTACCAATATAAATCGCTTACGGTTTAGTAGTTAAAAGCCAGACATCTTAGAAAAATTCAAATAACGTCTAATTTCCTGTTTGTGACGTAAGGCAAAAAAAAAGGTGTTTTGGCGGCAGCTCTTCACAGACAGAGCCATTCTTGCTAAAGCTAACGAACTTTTCTATTCGATTTATGGCTAAATGGCATTTATGCAAACAAGCAAGGGACATTATAAGTACACGATGCACTCATAAAGGGTGTGCTGGATGCGGTCACACTTAGTTTAATTTAAAAAAAAAAATAAACAAATAAATCTCTTCATTACTTGAGACGAATCGAAACGTTGCCGTTGTAAGTGGGGAGAAGACCTGTCGAGTATGTCAATAAGTGAATAGAAAAACAAACATGAAAACCATATCGGTGTGAAATAATGAAGTAACAATAAATTAACAGCCAGCTGAAAAATATCCATGAAATACTTAACAACATTTGAAATATGTTGTTCATTAGTTACTACAACGTGTTTATTGGTTAATTATTTATTTATTTATTTTATTTTATTTTTTTTATTTATTATTTTGTTAAATTCTAAAATAATCTAATATCTAATATTATAATTAATTTATTAATAAAAGAAACTTGACTTAGATTAAATTAAATGAACGCGTCAGATCAGCTAAATATGCACTTCATTGAGGTGCTTTCGGTAGATGATCGCCTTGGGGTTGAAAACCGTTTTCATCGGCTGTATATCTGAGCTCTACTTCCTTACCTTCAGGATCCATGTATCGGAAGAAGCCTCTTTGTACCAATATAGTCTCTTCATGTTCATCAATCACATGTCCATCCTCGTCCACTTGTTGCGGCACTAGAATCTTTTTCATATAACCAATATTTTCCACTAGAATTCCATTCGAGGTTTCATAACTTTTTGAAAGAAAAAAACGAAAAAAAACAAAGCATTTTTTTTTTTTTTTTGGATTAATTAATATTTTAACCTTGAGTTTTTTTTTTTAATATTTTTTTATTATTATTTTTTATTTATTTTGGAAGCAAAAAAAACCTGCTATTAAAACTGCCATCAGGATTTGTGATATCGATTTGTTTGATAATCGTAGCGGGCGTTGTTGTACTACTCGTCGAAGCGTCTAACGAGAAATGTTCATGAGCAGGACGAGCCAAAACATAAGCAATTAGCACCGAGCTTAAAACAATGGCTACAAATTTATACATTTTCGTTAAAGTCGTTTCGTTGTTGTTGTTATTATTATTATTAATCCTTTTTAGGTAGAATTTTTGTTTTTTTTTTTTATTGTCAACTTTTCAACTTTTCTGCGCTAGTTTTCAGTTCACTTGTTCTTGCGTTCATGCACTACTGATGGGAACTTTTGCTCGCTTGTACCATTTTATACAAGACGTCTTAAGTGTAAAGAATAAAAAAAAAAGGCAAAAAAAAAAAAATTATAATAATATATACAATAACAACAACTATTAAAAGTGAAAATAAACAAAAATTTAAAATTCATGCTTCTCCCTTACCCTCTCACTCATTCGTATAAAACATTCATCCTCATTCATATGTGCCTGTGTATAGATAGATAACCTAACTCTCTCACGTATTGAAAGAGATTTACATACACATACACATATACATACATATCTTTTTGCCTGTAAGTTGGTTTGTCCGTCATTATTTCTTCTTTACGAAGGGTAACCAGATGTTATTGTTATGGTATGATTGTGCCTGCTAGATAAACTCTCTTATTTGCCAAATATAAATCATCTAAACGAACGAAACAAAAAACAAAAAAAACAAAAAAAAAAAAAACCTTATGTGCGAAATTTTAATGTGTCCGCACTTACATACGAATTTTGTTTCGTCACCGCCATCGCGATCGCCACCGTCACCGTCACGATTGTTAACCGCACAAATCTATGTAAACACGCATCGATGTCATACTCACTTTGTGTTATCGTACTTGTCATCTCATTGCGTTCATCTGGTCGCAGACGTTTAAGATGCGCTGCGCCATATCGCATAGCCTTTTGCTGGTTTTGCCGATTTTTCGTAGAATTTTTGTTTTTTTGCTTTTCTTTTTTTTTCTTTCTTTCTTTTTTCTTCTGAAGGACTAATTATAATTTTTACAGTTTATTACACCTTCTCTCATGTTAATCAAGAATATAGTGGTTGCGACATATATTAAGTTTACCATTTCATTTGTATTTATTAAAAAAAAAAAATGTTATGTCATTAAGAGTTTAATAAAAGGAAAATTTAATGGACTCTTAGGACTCTGCGAACTTAAGAACTTTATAAACTTAATTGGTCGCGATAGGTGATAAAAATTTCAAGTAAGTCTTCGATCGAAGAACGTCTGATTATTTCCTTACCTATGGACTCTTAAGTCTGACAAGATCACCTCAATCGGCAGAAGATCATTAGGGAGAGTGACAGAGAAGGTAGAAGATTGCATCCTTTTAACACTGTTTGAAGGGCTACTGTCGACTTGCGATTTTCTCATTTTTTCATTTTCTTTCTTTTTTCTTATTAACTTAAACGCGAAAGATAATCAGGAGGCGCAGTGTGCGAAGGCGGAATTTTACGTAATAAATAACCGTAAGATAGGAGTATTTTGCATGCATTTTAATGCATTTGCTTTTCATCTGTATAGGTAGAAATCGCTACTAAGTTAGTGTTCGCAGCTTCAAATCTCTACAAGGAGTACAGCTGCAGTAAAGGCCACTTACATGGGCACGTGCCGACTAGTCTGCGGCCATTACCCCCGTATCTCTTTCTTTCTCTTTCCTCACTTGAGAACGTCACCTGGAGGATTCGCTATAGCAATAAAAAAAAAAAAAATTAATTTGCAAGCGTGAGCGGCTGAGTAAATAAGAATCGTGACTACCAAGATAGGGGTCGCGGATTTGAATCTCAATGCGATAGAGCGTACTAGCTCGTAGCTATAGTAGCTGCTCAGTCACTAAACGCATAATACTTGTAGTTCGGGCAAACATGCATTACGCTACGACCACTTCCCATCTCTTTCTCTTTCCTTCTCACTTCCCTCTAACCATCATTATGTTACACGTATAGAGCACATCTTGAATGTCAACCTTCTTCCCTTTTTTTTCACATTTGGGTTGAAAAAAAAAAAGTTAAGTACCATCTGCAATGTTGACAGAAATCTTTAAAGTCATTGAAAGGTTTCCATTGGAAATTAGAACTAAAACAACAAATATGTTTTTAAAAGTGAACCCTGACAAATTTTTCTCGAAACTACGTTTTCCGAGTCTCTTCTTTAATTTTTACTCGATTGCTTTGATATACTTATCACAGTTTCAAAATAAGCTTTTTTTTGGTTACAATAAATGAAAACTTGTCAGCTCTTTGAACGATTTCGAAAAATATCTCGGTTCTGATAATATTTGGGTGAAATATTTAAAAAATATTTGGTTGTTGAAAGAAAGGATTGTGTGGCATAAGTTGTTACATTTTCCTTTTGTTTTCAAAAAATTTCGAAAGAATTATTCTTCTGTCTTAAAACATGTAAAAATGTACAGAAAACTAAATCTTTTAATTACGTGCTTCTTAGATTAACATAGAAATATGCTTGTCGACACCAGGTGATTTTAATCCTTAAGGTGCTAGCAAGAGGAGCAAACTTTGCCGTCTCTTGTCTTGAATGCTCAGTGAACATTTAACACAGACGATTCGCCAGATTGTGAAGAGCAAAATTCTTGCGGTCAAGTATTGTTCAATCTAGTGACAATGGTTCTCTTCGCTTAATGGAAAATTGGAGTGATGTGACGGTATACAGAATCGACGATGGTTCTCCCCATAAATGAAGAAATTACCTGCCAAATCAATTCCACTCTCTATACGGTTACGGAAAGAAATTTTAAGGTTTCCACACCTTAATTAAGGGAGTAAGGGAGATGCGGCTCTGGGTGAGCAACGATAATGCCCAGATAGTGTTAATTGCAATAGCACTGTTGTCAGGTAGCCTTCTGCTTATTATCCTGTTTTATTGCTAATTGTAGCAAGCAAGGTGATAGCAGAGGCGACTTACATAACTAAGGTTTTAGAACTGTTTGTATTGATAGTCGTTGAATCAAAATTTCCGTCAATAGCGACAGTTTCCTCAAGAGGTTAATGTCAAAAATTTCGCCAAAGCGGGTTTTTACAGTGTAACCCTTAATATTGGCGAGAAATTGTCAAATTGGGAAGTGAAGTCACGTTTAATTAGAAATGTTCGCACTTTGCAATGGTTGAATGTCACTGTAGTAGTAGTAATAGTAATAGTAGTAGTGGAAGTGTAGTAACGTTGTAGAGAACACTGTATTAGATGATATTTTTCAAAATATTTCCAAAGATTGTGTGCGATGGCAACTTGCACGCCCAGATTGATAATGTGTCAAGAGCAGAATGGGCTGGATTTTAGACATTTACGGAAATTGTGAGGTTTCAACCTTCATCAGCCGTAAATGGTGTATGTTATCTTTCGCTTAAATTTAATCATTGAGAGACGTCACTAAACGAAAAGGTAAGATGTAAGACCAGTTTTTGATTTATCGTTTCGTTGAAAAAATTAAGTTATTCCACTCCAACTGGTTTCGAACAATAAGGCGTATTTAGGCATAATTTGGCAAACGTTGATCATATTATAATGTATCGCATTAAAGGTTTGCATAGTTAAAGCAGAAAAGCAAAAGTATTCTAAGTTTAACATTCTGTTTGTTACACAAATAAAAATCCATTCATCATTTCGATTTGTAAACCTATGGTAAACACGACGTTTTTATAGTCATCCGCTTGTTTCTCACACGTAGCTTGTTTACTTGAATGTTTATGTTTATTAGCTTGTGTATTTATAAACTGATAAGCTTACATACTTAACCACATTAAATGCTTTAATAATTCTATACTTATATACATATATGTTTAAAAATTTACATAAACTTATATACTTGGTTACTTATATATTGATATATACTTATGTGCTTATATACTTGCATAGTTGTATATTTATATCATCACATAGTTTTGCGCTTATATGCGGGTGTAATCATTTACTTACTTGTACCATAGACTACATATATATATACTTCCCTAGTTAAATACTAATAAACTTATAAATGTATGTATGTTTATATGTTCAGTATCTATACTTATTCTTACTATATTCTTAGTCTTGTATGCTCTTACAAATTTATGTATGTATGTATGTACAGTTCCCTACTTAGGTAATTATATACCTCAAGGCTCATACAATCACAAGCGCAATATATTTCTAATTCTGTGTACTTATGTAATTATATCCTCTAATAATTATGTATTCACTTATATTCTCATATGTTTTCCATATATATTCATATATATATCTATATAATTTAATGCCTACATACTTATGCACTCATTTATATACACACGTACTCCTGAACTTTTATACGTACATATACTTGCATACTTATATATATACTTACATACTTACATATACTTATATACTCCAATCTCTGCATATTTATGTATTCATATATTGATCTATTCATCCTAAATGCTGGTGCAATTATATACTTATGTAGACTAATACCTATATACTTGTGTATATATTTATATATTTTAATAATTTTACAATTAAATACTCGTACTGATGGAGGACATTATTAAGGATGATTATCCTTATAGATTTATATGCCTATATACTCATATACTTGAGTAATTATCCTTACTTATCTACTTATATGCTTATATATCCTTTATTATCTATGCAATTATATATTTTTATTTTTATACATTCATACATTCATATATATTCTAAAATTGAAACTATCTCAACCAAGATTGTGTGAAGATTTAAAATTAAAAGTTCAATCTTATAAGCTATGCTAAGGTTAAAAGTTTTCTAAATAGAGAAGAGAGGGATAAATAAACGAAACAAATGAGAAGAAGGATTTACTATACTCTCTCGGAGTATAGTAAGGAGTGTTCATAATAAATGACATTTACTTGTTTTACACAATTTATTGAAATAAGTTTCTTCCTAAGAAGACCAGCGCTGCACTATTCATTAACAGCCAAACTTTAATGTTTACCAAACTATTTAACGCTTATAAAAATATTCGATTAATGCGTGCGAGCTTTGTGATGTTATTTATATTACTTAACTGTGTAGGGTTTTTTTTTTTTTTTGTTATTTCATTATTTTTATAATTTTCAAATTAGTTTTGAATACATTATCGTAAACGCTTTAAGAACATAGCATGAAGTTTGGCTCATTAGCATGACTTTTGCTTAACGAATTATTAGGTAACGAACAAGTAAAGCCGTTATTTCAGCAGTATTTGGTTTTTTATTTAATTTATTTATTTATTTTTTTTTTTAGACATAAATTATGCAATAGACAGTGGATCAAATACATTTAAGTTAGACACGCCCACCTTGCGTGTATCAATTATTTAATGAAATCATTATGCAAGACACGTAATCAGACTTATGAAATTTTGTGAAAGAATTAAAGAAATTTTTTGGCAGAATTTATCTATAGATTTTTTAGTCAATCTCTGAACGTACGAAGGTATGTTAACCACGCCATACTTTTGGTTAAGTCCCGGAGAGTAGGTCGGGAATTCTCTTAGATAAAGAGATTTGAAATCACATGACAGCTATGTCACCGCCCGTTCGCTAGGTTTATCTCGTGTCTGTTAATAAATCGTATTTTTTCGATCTACGGTGCCCGTTTGTGCAGACTTTTTAATTTATCCCTGAACCTTTGAAGGTATGTTAATTACGCCATCGTCTTGATAAAGTTCAGGCGACTGGATCGGAAGTTCTCTTAGACAAAGAGACTTGAAATTGATAGGGAGCTATGTTGCCGTTCATTACGGCTCCCAATACATCATATTAGGTGTTTGCGAACATTTTGATCAATGACCTCTACAGGTCATACAGGAATGATAAAGAAATGTAAAATACCAGTGTTCATAACGATTTAATTCGATCGTTTTGAACTTCCTGTACATAAAATAGCAGTTTTCCATTTAATATTATTGCGCCGACGCTAATTACGGAACCCTTAAAAGTGCAAATGCTTCTTTCAAGTGAAAAAATAGTCAAAACATTCGCAAACGCTTGATATCTTTTAAATCGGGTTTGTCCGTTTGTGTAGACTTTCTAATGTAGCCCTGAGTTTAAGATGCAGTAATTATGCCACCGCCTTGACAACGCTCAGAATAGTGTGTCACGAATCCGCTATTGAAAGCCATGCTGCCGCTCACTAACTTTTTCACGCATCCCTCAAAGCACAGTGTTTTTCTATCGGCTCCGTATAATTAGCTCTTCGTCTTGTTATGCATTCGGCGGTCAATCTTGCCATGCCTTTGTTCGTCAATTCACCTTTTCGACCAACTGTACTCTCTTTTATGTTTCAGTTCTTCTGTCCATTCTTCTATTTGTCTGCCTGTCTGGCTCTAGCCATGAAAGCATTTTTATCTATTTTCATAAAACGTTGGGTAACTAAGCTTCGTCTCATCACATTGATATTTGCTGTTAGAGATGCAAAGACGGAGGAAAATGATAACAAATGTGATGAGGAATTTTAATGACAGCAAATGAAATAAAGACCAGAAAATTTGCTTATTAAGAATATCTTGTTTTATATTCGCATTTCTGCTAATCGTCAAAACCAGAAATTGTCAAATTCCGCTTATATCAGTTCATCAATGCGTAGATATATATATATATATGTACACTAATGTAGGTGAATAAACTCTTTATTTATGTGTATATGTACGCAATTCAGTCTGTGATGTCGCTCAAACTTACTACTACTAAGCAAAAGCATAAAGAAATGATGCGTAGATATAAGTAATGGTAACATATCTGACGCTGAAAATCTCATTAACAAGTTAAGCTTAGACAAATAGTAGAATAATAGATTCTGATAATCTTCTCTTCTGTTTTTTTGCACTTAAAAACATATTTTTACATAATTTTATTTTTATAAACAAATCATATTTCCATTACCTAAGTCTAATATTAAAACTTTAATTCAATGCGTCTCTGATGTGTGATAGGCATGTTCTTCTATATATTTCAGAGCTTTCAATATAGCCTCTGGCGTTGGTGGCGGTGTCGGCAAGTGTTCTCCATACGCACGAAAACCATTTTCATCGGCAGTATAAGTAACAGTGTATAGCTTACCATCATCTGCGGGGAAAGAAAACTTACCTTCCATAGCTTGGCCGTCATGTTCAGCCTCAACGTGCTTTTGATAACCATCTTGTGTGACCTTGGAACCATCGTTCTGTTCGTAACTAAAACCGAAAAAAACAGGAGAAAATGGATTTTATTTCGTTATATAGGTTTCCAAGGCTTTCCAACGTTTAGTTAAGTCTTTCGATCCTTAATGGGCGTGCAATGCCATTGTTCTCTTGCGGACATTTTTTCAATAATTAAAAATAAATGTGTTTTCGTTTGCTGACCTTAACGGGTAGTTGTTTTGGCCAACCACACTACAATAATTAATAGGTTTTGCAATAACAAAAGTTACGTCAATGGTTTCTAAGACATTCGTGGCTTGTTACGAAATGATTTTCATACCTTATGCCAATTGTAGAGCAAGGATCTATTAAGTTTGTCCCGATGCAACACAGAGAAAGCGTTGAGATAGACCCACCACTTATTATCCCGAGTTCGTCTGTCCGTCTGTCCGCTTTATTTTTTCTTTTTGTTTAGCCTAAAGGCTGTAATTCGTATTTTCTCCTATTGAAAATGGTTCAGGTCGGACCACTCTTTCGACCACCTCCCATATAATATCGTATTTCGAAAACTCATTATATGAATAACTGCAAGGTGGTGTAGAGTATTCAATGGTGGCAAGTGACCCACTATACTGTTTTTACTTATTGTTTATTCTTATTATTAGACGTTCTATCAGAAAACAAGATGTATTCTAGTGCATTATTTTCACACAAGATTTTTTTTCATTATGCAGTTTTCACACTCACTGATAATGATGACGTCCGTTTTGTTGAACAATAATTTCTTGAGACATTAGTTGTATATCTTTGGCGTACGCAATCGAAGCCATTAGAAGAAACAATGCAAATGCTTTCATGTTTTTTTTTATTTAAAAATGAGTTAATGCTGCAATTAATAATTAAATTAAGCAAACGATACACAAATGATACGTTTCGTATAAAATTTACGCCTTTTATATATGTGCTTAAATTCAAAAAGATGAGATGAAATCAAGAATATATTTATAAAAATTGCCTCCAAACATTGAACGTTTTACGGGTTTATATATGTATTGAATGCTTAAATTACTTTATTGCGAAAGTGTTACAGAAGAGCCCATATTCGTAAAAAAAAAAAGTAATTCCGACAATGTCTAAATCGAAAATTTCTTCCCTATCTGTTTGCAAAAAGCCCTTAGGAGAATATAACTCGTGTGTTTTTTGCTTTTCTTTCATTAAGCTCTCTTTTCTCTCCCCTTCTCTTATTTTCCGTTCTGCTCTATACCGTGTTGTCTGCCTTTTTGCTTTTTGTTTCTTTTCGTCCTGTTCCATTCTGGTTTCTTTTGTTCTGCTCTTTTCCAATCTTTTCTGTTCCGTTTTGGTTTTCTGCTTCCTTTTTTTTTCTGTCTACTTCGTTTTGCCTTATTCCGCCCTTTCTGTTCATTTCTGTCTTGATGGGTTTTGTACTGTTTTGCTCCCCTCTCTTCAATTTTTCCTTCAATTTCTTATCTATTTCTTCTTTTTCTTTTTTACTTTCCTTTCTTTTTCATTTTTCTTGTCTTTGCTTTTCTTTCTTTTCTATTTTTTTGTCTTTTTTTTCTCCTCTTGTACTTTCTTACTCCTTTCCTTTCTTTCTCTTCTTCTTTTCTTTTTGGTCTCCTCTATTTCTTTCTTTCTCTTTACTTTCCTTCTTTTTTCTTTTCATTTCTCTTGGCCTTTTTTATCCTTTTTATTTTTTTTTTGTCTTTTCTGTTCCTTTTTTTTCTTTCAGGATTCGTCTTTTTGTTTCACTTCTTTCCTTATTTTCTCTTTTTTCCTTTTCGTTAGTTTTTCCTTTTGTCTTTCCTCTTCTTTTTGCTTCTCTCTTTTACTTTCTTTCTCTTTCCTTTACTATTTTTTTCTTTTTACCTATTGCCCTTTTTCTTTTATTTCTTCTCTTCTCTTTTCTGTTTCTCGACCTTTTTTGTTTTCTTTTAGTTTCCTTTCTTTTTTTGTTTCTTTTGTTCTCTGTTCACTGCGCTAGTTTTCTGTTTTTTCTTCTGGTCTTCATCCAAAATTTTATGTCTTTTAAAATTTTAATCTTAATTGGCAGTTTTTTTATTATTATTATTATTATTATTATTAATTTCGCCAGAGAAATAAATTCTAAGACTAAACTCTTAAAAAAAGCACTAGCATCTAAGGCTATCGGCCTTTATTAAAAACTCTACCGCACTTGAGATTCGAACCCACGACCACTGAGTTGCTAGTCGAGACTCTTGCCTACTCGGCCACCCAGGCGGATCCAGTTTTTTTAACCATAACTCATCTCAAGTAATCCAAATTAAAAAAAAAAAAAAATTGTTTTAATAATCAGTTGGAAACGAACGTTGAAAAAAAGATTCGAAACGTGTTTTTCAAATTATATTTATTTTATACAACCGGCGAAATAAATGTTTCCATTTAACAAGTGTGGCGTCAATATTGTGCTTAGGACGAATCTTAGATGCTTAAGTATTTTTTTCTTGATAAGCTTCCACGGCCAATTTCTTCAGTGTTGTACTACTTTAATTCCTACGTAGGGCAGTATCCAAAAATAGACGTAAATGGTGCAGGTTTTGTGGAGTTAATTTTTGTATGAAGTTCATATTATGGGCTAATTTTCACCACCACATATTAAAACTTAAACTTTTCTGCTCTACAAAGGGCCAATTTTCGTGAAAATCCTTATTAGAGTAGGAAAAAAGGCAGACGTCGTCCAAATTTGCTGCAGTTAATTTTTTTATTTTAAATTATTATTATGATATAATTTTTATCACGAAGCGTTGAAAATTATAACTTTTTGTTGTATGAACTTTAGTTTTCATTATATGAGAATGGGTTCAAAAATTGCCTGAGCCAGTCCAAAGCTCTCATAATAATTTAGAATGTCGAAATACTGCTACTTAGGCACTTTTGCCGAGAAATTTTGAAAACTAAAATTTTTTTCCAAATAAGGACTTTTCAGAATAGGGAAATATGGGCAGTGATCTAAAAGGTGATCCGAACTATCTTCAACAGCCTTCGTCCGTGGGTCAAAACACGTCAATGTGTCAAATTTCATTAAAATATCTCAAGTATTGCGCCCTATAGCTTGAACACAAATTTACATGAAAAGACATCAGAGGGACAAACACGCTTAGATCAATTCAAATTACGATTCTGAATAGATCGGTATAGTTAAAAAAGGAGAGTCTAACTTAAGTCCTTTTGGGTGCTAGATACGTTCACACTAAATTTGTTATACCCTATACCATAAGCGGAAGTTCTACAGAAATATTCGTCAAATTTTTTTCTTTAAATTATTAAAACATTCAGAATGTTTACACACAATATGAAAGCAATTGACAGGTCGTAAGAATAGATATTTGAATGAATTAATGTCATTATGAAATGAGTTACCCGATTCACGTTAATCATTAAACCAGCGAAACTTTTATAATTCTACAGGAAAAGTAAGTGAGACTTAAGTTTATTAACCTAACCTAGTTTGTATTGTAGAGCAAGCAAGAAAATTACATTCGACTGTACCTGATCCTTATATACCCACCGCCTTTATCCTAACCAGGACTGAAGAAAAGCAAGTAAACACTGTATAGTGGGCTACGTCCTGTCATTAAATACCTTACGCTTCATACAAATATTGGAAAGCTGGCAAGCTGGCCGAAAATATACATTTAATACGAAAAACTTTATTATTCGAACGAACGAGTTTTTCCGGCCGTCAAAAATCTCAAATGCAATAGAAGCGATTATTACAAGACGTCGTCAATTATGTCGGATTTTCATAATGCCCGACTTATGACTTTCATGGCCGTGATATAAAGTTTAGAACTAAAAGTACGATGAATACGGGCAGCTAAGACTATCGCCTAGATGGTTAGTTTAAAAACAAGTTTCCTTCATTTCAAGGATGGGCAACCTCTTTCATCAACGAGCTGGTTTTAATATCATCGCGGGGCTAGAAAAAATTCCATATACAATCCATTTGCAACATTGCTGTGTGCGAGTATATTGAACTATTTGAAATTTTAAACGTAACGGACCGGAAATTGCCCATGTCAGATTGATGACGTAACATCTATTCAGAAGAACTTGCGTTAGACACCAATCGATTCTGAACCACTTTCCGAATTGTCTGTCCGTCTGTTCGTTTCGTTTTCTTATTTTCAACCAACAGGTCGCACTTTTCGAAGTGTTTCGATGACGTGCTTAGGCATAAGGGCCAACTTTTTTGAGAATGGTTCGCATCAGGCGATCGTCTCAACCGCTTATCATGTAACGTTTTATCAGTAACTGTACATTTATATTATGGTGGCTGCGGGCCATTATGTTGATGTTTATACCGAAATTTGAAATCAAATCTTGAATCAAATAACTATCAGTTATGCTCTCTCAAGTGAAAACGCAATTTATGTTAAGTTTTTGTAAAGAATCCTTCATTCTTTATTTGCTTTACCTATTTTATTTATTTGTTATTATTATTTTTATAAAAAGAAAACATATACATATATACAAAGCCATAAATCTTTAATAGAATTTTCTATTGATTCTTTCTTTCTTCCTTTCTTTTCCTATATATATACACATATATGTAAATCGTTGTGTATTCATGTTTTAACAAGATTTTCATTTCCTTTTTTTCATTCTATTTTGTTCAACAACAAACAGTGATTATCACATGAATCCGAAATATCAGAGTTCCGGCGACTAAAAGAAGGACACAACTTTTACTTTGTTTTTTTATTTTTTTTTATTTTGTTTTGTGTGCCTTAGTATTTGAAAAGATCTAAAAAAAATAGATTTGTTGGAGTAGTGCGTGCGCGTGTGCGATAAGTCTGTGGTGTGCAGAGAAGGTGTATTGAATAACATCGCGTTTTGAAGAAAACAAACCAAAAAAAATAATTTTTTTTTTTTCCTTATAATCCAGAAATGAGTATTTTTTCGTAAGAACCTGTGAGGTTTGGAGCTGTTGTTGTTGTTGTTGTTGTTGTGTACTCGTTGTTGATGTCTTTGTATATGTTTAAGTGTTTTGTTATAAAAAGTAATAATTTCGTTTGGTTGTTGGTAAGTTATAGCTCGTTCAGTCAGTGTTCTTTCTTTCTAGTATTTTCTAGTTCTTCTTATTTCTAATTAAGATAAGTTGGGATTTTTTGTTCAATTATTTCTTTTTTTTTTTTTTTTTTAAGTTCTTTAAAACTCACTCACTTTCTACAGATAGTTAACTGAGTTGGTTGGCAGTGGTGCAATAACAGAAAAGAAGAAGAAAAAGAAAATATTTTGTTGATTTTTTGCTTTTATGTACACAAATGAAAATGAATCTGTGACAGTCATAAAGTTTAACAGTTTGTGGTCACTTTGCAGTTCATGTTGTTATTTAATCAAAAATTGTGTGTAAAAGAAAAATTTACGATAGACGTAATCACTATACTACTAAGAACATCTCTTCTTTGCTTTTAATTTTTTGCTTGTATTTGATTTTTTTTTTACTTTTTGCGTTTTTCTTTTTTGTTGAAATCAATGTTTGTTCTAAGAAGAGTTCCTGCTGGATGGATGGATATTTGAAGTGAATGACTTAACGACGTTTGGTGGGTGGCAAGCTCAACAAATAATCCAAAGCCTTTTGGATTGCTGGTGGAATTGGTGGAGGTGTGGGCAAATGGGCGCCTTGAGGTTGGAAGCCGTTCTCATCGTCGGCGGCATAATTCAAAGAGATTTGTTCACCTTCGGGCGAGGTATAAGAGAAGGAACCGCTGGCCACAATAACATCGCTGGTGTCAGCAGAAGTAGCTTTCTTTAGGGTACCCGTTTCCTCGCCCTTAATGCCGTTGGCGGTTTCATAGCTAAAAATAAATAAAAATTAAAAATTTTTTTTGTTTTTATTAACGTGTGACAGGTGTTGTGTCGATACACATGTTGTTTAATTTCATGTACTTAAGTGGTCAATAAATAAAATATCGCGATATCTGCACCTTGAATATGACAATATTTTACAATAATTAACGTGATTGGTTTCCTCGCAAGAGAAAATAAATTAAAAATTGATTTTGAAAATATGCGTTAATTTATATTTAAGAAGACACGTTTTTTTGCTTAGATATAAACAAACTCCCTTTTCCATCGATTTAAAACGAATTTAAAAAACTTTCCTAGAAAGAAAAACAAATAATGGGTCACTCAGGTGATGATGTCTCCTATTATCTATAGGAGACACCTCTACGTATAGAGGACATCCCCATGAATGTGCACGTATAGCGGTGGTCCCATTTCAGAGAGGAAGAAAAGAAAACGAGATAAGGAAGGGCAGTCGCATCCTAGCGGATGTGTCCTTGATCGGCAGGCGTTATGCTTTCACCGGCTGATCATTAACCGCACCTACGATCAAGTATGGTGTAAATGGCGAATCCCAAGCATCGACATCATAACCCTAATCTACTCGCTTATGCGGCATCTCAAATCAAAAATAAACCAGGAATAAGTTGTTCAGTTCTCTTTCAGGAATTTATTAAAAGATTTTAAAATAAATCTCGAAATTAGTTGTTTATTTAAGTCACTTGTATAAAGGATCTCTTTCCCCATTAGCAGGATGTAAAGAGAGTGAAAGTGTGAGTCTAATTAAACTGTGGATTTTGCATTGACATTTTTCTACGTAAAGATTAATCGAATGTTCATTAAACTTTTAATCATCTTTAAATTATTTCCTTTTCATTTCTTATATAATTAGACAACATATAACATTCAACAATGTTCCCAACGCACAGCGCACAAAAAACTTTTGCAAGAAGCATTCTCTACCATACTTGGTAAACAGTTACCTAACCGTGTGTTACTAGACAAGTGGTCAAAAGTGTTCCTTTTTCTTCTTCAATTATTATTTTTATTTTCTTTTTTTTTCTACAAAATATGAATTTTTTATAGTTTAAAAAAATTTTGTCGAATCTTGAATTACAATTTTTTTCGGTTCAGTTCATCTAATTTTGAAAAAAGCTTTTAACGATTTAAGTAAGAAGTTTGTGTCTTAAGTCTTGTATTTCTTAAATGTAAGCCAGAAAGTATGTTATAAAAAAAATTACTTACGAATATCTATAGGAGCCATCAGGTTCTTGATTAGATTCTTGACTAACGATAGCAATGGGTTCCTGGGGTCTGGCCAGAACCATTGAGGCAGTGCAGGCGATAATTAATAAAGTAATTTCCTGTTAAAAAACAAAAAAGCAAAAAAAAAAAACAAAAATTAACAGAAAACAAAGAATTCATAATAAATCTAAGGTAATTTTCAATTAAAATAATGAACATTAATTAACTGTTGACATGATTTGCTGGCTGTTGTATGCAAATTTCGTTTCCTAATGTAATTATTCTCAATTATTCATTGTGTTTACGTGTGTGTGCCTGAGTGTGTTTGTGTATCTAAATAATATTTGAGAAAATCTTTTGTTTATGGTTTTAACGTAAGACTTTTTATTATGCTGACGAAATCTTTTGGTCGGTGAACTTAAGGTCTCTTTGCGTAAACAAAAATTCTGAACATTTTTTTAATGGTTAAAAGTAATATTTGCATCTCTCACATAAAAATATTAAAAAAAGAAGCAGTCGTAAAAAAGTCTTTTTTTATGATTTACATTTTATTTCTCATTTTATCGTTAACAAAAATCGTCAGAGATGAACCCGGAAATTTATTTTAATTAAGGAAAACGTTTTAAAAGTTTTTCCATGCTTTAGTAAAATACATGTTAAACAAAAAAATAAAAATAAAAAATATTTTTCATTAAAATAATAAATTTTTTGGTATTTTTCTGCTTGAGTTTATTTTTAGTTATTTCTTGACACTTATGTCAAACGTCACGTCTTTTTACACAATTTTTTTTTTATATTTTCATTTTGACTTTTTATTGGGTGTGCTTTCATTTTTAAGTTTAACTGCTCCATAGAGCACACATGTATACTTTGCTAAGTTATTGTTTACACATCTTCTTATTACTTCGCTGTGCTGGCATTTTGCCATTACCATCATTACCATCGTATAGCAACCCTGCGTGCTCGCTTCTGTCTGATATTTATTTTATATATTTGTTATGATGTATTGTGCCATATGGTCATGTCGGGTTTTGTGTTAAATGTCAAATTAATGTTTAATCTGTGCGATTTAAAAGGTTTCTTGGTATTCTAAACTGTCATGTACGTTGCGGCTGTGTGTGGTTGTCATAAGTTTTCTTTGAAATTTATCGTTTCTGACATATGCGGTGATTTCAATAATAAAAAGCGAAATAACATTATGCTAAATTTTTTTTTTTTTTTTTGGGTTCCTATTGAATTCGTATTCTAATGTTTAAATGAAGCATTTTTGCGGTTAAATCTGTTACCATTACAAAAGCAATAAGACTTGCAATGAATTTTGGATTCCTATCATATCAATTAAAATCGATAAATTGACTTTGAAATGGTTATGCAATACATGGGTGCAAATGAAAGGAGATCACGCCCACTTTTAAAGAATAAATTTTTTTCATCGAACTATGAGCATAATTTTAACTTTTCAGTCATTTTTTTGACAATGAGCAATGAACAATAACTTGTGGACGGAAGGACTGACACACACACAATTTTGTGTTAAGCGGTGATATACATTTAAAGGCATTTTTAATAGGAAATAGCAAACTTAGTCAATTTTCACCAATAAAAAAGATAACGCATTTAAGCAATTGTTAAAAAATTATTCTTTGTCTTTTGTTGTAAGTAACGGTATAGTGTTGAGCTAATACAGTGCTAATATAATAATGGAAATGATGACATCAAGTGACAGATCAATTTTCGCTTTGTTTTTTAAAGCTACGTAAAATACTTTTAAACTTTCGATTCATTGAAGAGATAGTTATAGGTATAGTAAGTCGTATTTTTTTCAATTTTAATTCAATTCCTTTCTCTTGGAACTGGATTAAACCTGAAGTGAAGTTGTCATTCTTTATCTTCCTCTACTTTCTATTCTCTATTCCTGACAGTATCAGGCAATTGCACGAGCAGACAAACTCAAGCTGAACAAAATTATAAGAAATGAACTCAATTCCCCGCAGAGTAAGTGAGGATTTTTCAAACTAATGACGATCTTAATATATCTTGATTTTCTGCCTTAGAGTACAAAATATATAAACCATACTACACCCAAGTCTTAAAAAGAACTTAGCGAGTCTTTGCAAAATTAATACAATCAATACGAAATCATAAACATATTTACGATTTTGTGGCGTGAACCGCTTTACAGCTTCATATTACTTACGAAGATTGCCGTTTGCGGCAAAATATCTATAGCAAGTAAAACATTGTCAGTGCGAAGCAATAGCAGATGAGAGGAATTGATGGATTACCCGACCGTTTAAAGGCGACAAAATAGGTGATTCCATGGAAAAGAAAGCTAAACAATTCGAAGGCAAACACTTCCTTGAGCGCTCGGCGACAATTTCAAACCATTTATAGTTTAATTTCTGGTAAAAACTTTGATTTATAATAAAAGAAAGAGATAAACTGATAAAAACAATGTGATTGTAGAGACAGCTTAGGTTAGGTTAGGCTCCTACGTCTTATGTGTATCGACATGCCAGCAAGTAAATAGAAAAAAAAAAGGGGTGGCGAAAAAGATTAACATTTACTTAGTCAGTTCATGTTGTTTTAGACGGAAATAGAAATTTATTGCTTCTACTATTCAAGCCCATGCAGGAATCAAACATTATATTGATTCACTAAGAGATCGGTCACGCTGAAAATTGAAAACAATTTTGCTTGTTTTGCAACCACAGTAGTGTAACGTTTAATGTGCAACAAAAGCTGCAACGAATGTGTTATGACATTTGTGACAAAGAGCTTTAAGGGCTAATGTTATATTTTGGGCATGAAATTAGCGATAATTTCGTCAAATTTTGTTGGGAAAGACTTGGCGATTTGTTCAAGTAAATTTTTGGCAAATATTTGTACATATGTTATTGTATTTACAAGAACTTTTTAATAATTTTTCAAAAGCATTATAATAGCAAAACCGTCGTCGCGCTTTTTTTTATGGTACCTCCTTGCCGTCGTATTCGTACACGTCTTAATTTCCTATCTAAAGCGACAAACTAAAAAAAATTCTTGAAATATTAATAAATATATAGCGGAGGGCGCATGGTTTTGGAAAAAAAATGATATATATATGTATATGGTTTTAGAAGTTATTTTTTTTTATTCCTTCAAAAAGTCGACCAAGTGTACGGAGAATAGAAAGTGCTAGAAGTACGCGATTAAAATTTCAAGTGGTCATACCATCGAATAGCTCTACGCAGTAAGAGCTCGGAAAATGATCTTTCTGATCTACATAAATAATTCGATTGGCATTAAAAGTTCGGATTACCTTCTTTAAATGTTGAAGGGATTTAAGGGAAGAGATTTAAGACGACAAAAAAAGTTGGAAAAACCGCTACTTTCTGCATAAACGTAGAGAACAATTTTGCCTTGTTATATATAGGGAGAGTGATACCTCGTTGCTCGTTGGCTCGAAAAGAGTCAAGAGAGTAAAAGCAAACGTTCTATAAAGAACGTAGACAAGGTTTAATGAGCCAGAGACAGTGATAGAGAGTCATACCTCTTTGCTCGTTGGCTCGAAAAGAGTCAGGAGAGTAAAAGCAAACGTTCTATAAAGGACGTAGACAAGCTCTAATGAACCATACAGCAAATCTGCGTAATTAAAACAAGTGAACAAATTATATTCGACTGCATTTGAATTGTGGCTATCTATCGCCATTCATTTTATCCTACTACTGCTAACCGTGTCCTACAGTTATCTTTTTTCAGTAGAATGTGCACTTTCTGCCTTGCTTATCTTATAAATAATAATCACTTACAACTTTGTGAACATGAACAGTAGAGTCCTCCACCTAAAACAATTTAGAAAGTGTCAGCTGTCGATTTTTCATAATATACAGGTAATGAGCGACAAGCGCTCAAACAGAGGTGCTTTCATTTTACAACAGGCATGTCCTTTAATGGATTTGACCCATTTCCAATATAAATCTGCGTGCAAGCATGAGAAAGAATGATTTCGACAAATTTGAAGATGATATCTTAATTTTTGGCGACCACGAGAGTGTCGACAACATGCAGACATACCGAGACACAGACAGTGTGATGGACAGACATAACTAGAGTCTATTCAGAATTTGATGCTGATCGTAAGTACATGGGGGTAAGTTTTATGGGACTCTGAAGTTTCCTTATTGGTATTGCAAACGAGTATACCGCCGTACTGCAGTAGTGCTTGGGTACAATAAGCAGCGAAGAATATTATTCGTTGCAATGTTTCAAGTTTAGTTGCAGAGAAATTCAAAGTCGTTATGAAATGGCAAAGTAACGAAACCTGCAGTACTTTTGAAACAATGTAAGTTCAGCATCGAGATTAGGTTAAACCATTATCCGAACGCTTTTAAACCGCGAGGATATTTTTCTATACCGAAAGCAATGCGTACTTATATTTTTCTTTTTTAATATTTCATGCTCGTTATACGTTCAAATATATGTACATACGTCTGTTCAGAAACCAAAACGGAAAAACAAGTTTAATGAAAAATGAATGTTCGATGGAGCGAGCCGTGTTGCTGCACTGCTTGGTGCAGATACGACTATTCAGCTGTAAGACCAACTGAAACATTTGCGGAAGTAAAGCCTTTAAGGCAAAGCCGAAAAGTAGTCTCAATTTCAACTTTTAATTCGTTCCTGCAAAAAAAAAAAACGGCTTGAAGGATATGTAATATAAAATTTTCGAAAGCGAAAATATTGAAAATCGCAAAATGCGTTTTTTCCGAAAGAAAACCTTCAAAAGCTTAATTGAATATAAAGCGCTCAAGCGCTTGAAGGCATTCAGCATCGAAAGGAGGATTAATCTGGACGAATGGCATATTTTGTATTACCGTTACGAGTAAACTTATTAAGACCATAGACATCCCTGATCATCATCTAATGGCGCGATAATAATTTCGCATGTTGCCGGACGCTGAATACATTCGTTATTGCTTGCCTTCCGCGATCTTTTAACCAAACTCCACAACTTTGCTTTTTATCAACATATTTAATAGGGATTTCTTTTTCTATTATTTTAAAAGGAGTACGCAGGCTGGGGAAAGTATTAGATTGACAACGATACCTCGCCATGTGTCAATAATTCCAATTGCGTTTTCTCACTCTCCTAACTCATGGAACTATACTCAGGAAGATAAAAAAAAAAATGAACAAATAATTATGCGAAGGATAATATACAACATGAACAACGAGGAACGGATGCAAAAAAAGCATTCCAAGGTGGAAGCCCTAGGTCCACTTTTTTGTATGACTGTATATATGTAGTCACAGCAGCAGATAAAGTTTTATGCTTACATTGAAGCTAAGCTAAGGGATAAATATGAAACCCAAGGCTTCTTCAAGTTCAGTTCAATGGACTCTAAATAGTGTAATGGTAGAACTTTTGTATAAGTGAGATTTTTATTCAAGAAATTCCCTTAGAGCGGTTCTATGAAATAAACCAATTAATGAGGATGACATTATTGCATTGTTTTAGTATCCTTGAACGGAAACAAAGCAATAGTCCAGTTACTCATTAGGTCATATAAAGCTAAAAAAGGATTTGCTTAGAATTACTACCAAACAGTTTGCTTAAAGCCACTTTTGATTGTTTGTTCACATTTGTGTTATGATTTTTTTCATTCAATTATTATCATTTTTTTTTTTCATCATTCAATCCTTATGATAATTTTTTTTTTTTTTTTTTTTTTAGAAAATTTGCTTCGATTTTTATTGAATCGTTCTTGTCCGTGGAGCACTTACAATTTTCATTTTGGCACTTTTTCTAATTTGATTGAGATTGATTTGAACACAAAATTAATTTGTTTTTTCCTTTTTTTTTTTTTTTTTTTTTTTTTTTTTTTGTTATTAATCCGATTAATTTGCTGGTTCTGGAATGGATGGATATCCTTTCAAGAAACGACTTCTTGCAGAGAGATCTTAGAAGTTGTTAAATGAACAAAAGATGTTTTTATGAAATCAAATGCCGGCAACAGCGGTATTTATACGATGCAAGCGTGCAAACGACTGCAGTTAAAAGCATATTAGTTTTTTTGAGAGATTTAAAAAAAACTAAAGGAAAAACAACAATAATAACAAGAACAACAACAACAGCAGATAAAATAAATATATATATATATATATATATATATGTGTATATATATAAATAAATAAATTCAAATACATAGATAGACAAGCATATGCATGCGCTCATTCACAATCACACACACATACACACACACACACACACACACACACACACACACACACACACACACACACACA